AACATGCTTCACTTTACGTGACAGATTTGCTTTGACAGATAAGATGAATTGTATGAAAATGCGCAAAGCATGCCCATAGATGTTGTTGTTGTTGTTGTAGCGGCTACAACAACCCCGCCCAGATCGGTTGCTATCTCAGTCGTTGTCGTCAAGTTCCACTAACGGCAACCCTAGGAAGCGTGCAGCTTCTGTGGGGTTTGTCCACAGGGACAAGGCCGTTAGGGTTGTCGGGTTTTCCGGGCATGCGAAAAGATGTTTCGAGTCATGTGGGGTCTCTCCGCATGCCGGACACTCATTCGGCACATCCTCATTCAACCTACTCAAGTAGGAGTTCAACCTGCTGCAGTAGCCGGAGCGAAGTTGTGCGTGTCTCCCGAGGCAGATGAAGCTTCGTCTCGTCTATGTCCGGGGGTGGTATGCCTAGAACGGCATTCACAGGTCTAGAGTCTACATAACTCGAGACTGAGTCCCTGTGAATGCCGTTCAGGGCCTGTCTGTAAGCTCTCGGGTCCAGAGGTTGCTTAATGAACCTCTGGACTTCGTCCGTCAGTTCATATAGATGCCTCCTGACCTGCCTAGGCGAGGGCTCCTCTGCAAGCAGCTGTCTGCTTGGGTGGCCACTTCTGTGGCCCCCGATCAGGAACTACTTGCAGAGCATTATATTATGCTCCTTTACAGGGAGCATTTGCGCCTCGCCGTGCAGGTGGTGTTCAGACGACATCAAGAGGCATCCCGTCGCTGTCCTGAGTGCGGTGTTCTGTACAGTCTGTAGCTTCGTCCACTGAGTCCTACTAGTCCCTGGCGACCACACTGGCGCTGCGTAGTTCAAAACCGACCGGCCTATTGCCTTGTATGTTGCCAGCAACGTTTCTTTGTCTTTGCCCCAAGTACTGCCGGCTAGCGACTTGAGGACCTTGTTGCGGCTCTGTACTTTATTGACAATAGCGGTTGAGTGCGCAGAGAAGGAGAGCAGGCTGTCGAATGTTACTCCGAGTATTTTGCGGTTATTCACCGTCGGAATTGGTGTGTCATCGAGGTGAATCCCCAGCGGTAGCCTGACCTCCTTCGTCCAGGTTGTGAACAGGGTCGCGGAGGATTTCGTAGGGGAGAGGGCTAGACACTTTGCAGTGAAGAAGCGAGAAAGTTCGGAGAGATAGCCGTTTACTTTCGAACACAGGTCATCAATTCCATTCCTGCAGGTATTGGAGTCAAAGAGACTTAATATTGGGTGGGATCGATGCCCCGTCTATGATGGGCAAACCGTGAGAAGATGCTACAAGTGTCTGGGCTTCAACCATAGCTCTAACAGCTGTAACAAAAAGCTTAGGTGTAGCAAATGCATGGGAGAGCACAAGTCTGAAAGTTGCACTGACAGTCGCCAAAAAGAAGTTTGTGGAAATTGTTGTGATGCTGTTAAAGAGTTAGGGCTAAACCTGGATGTAGCGCACAACGCATTTAGTCGTGAATGTCCTGTCTATATTAGGAAACTGAAACTAGAGAAACAAAGAGTAGGATGTTAGCAATTAGGTGTAATGGAAAAGCGTCACAGTTACTTAAAATGCGTGTATCTTAATATAAATAGTATAATAGCCAATAAAGCCGTGCTTGAAAGGCTTCTTGAGACTGTTGATCCGGATATAGTTTTATGCTCCGAAACATGTACAACAGAGGAAATAAACGACTCCGAAATCAAGTTTCCAACTTATCAGTTTATTAGATGCGACTCGTATAGTAGACACACTGGCGGGGTAATTGTAATTTTGAGAGACACAATAGACTTTAAAATAATAATAAATAGATCCACTGATAAAAATGTCTGGTGTATAGTGGTACAATTGAGAAATTTTGAAACCAAATGGAAAATCGGGGTAGTCTATCACTCACCCAGTTCGAGTGATGCAGATTTTCTGACATATATGGAAGCCATTTTGTCCGAAACATGCGCTAACATGGTAAATACCATTATTATTGGGGATTTTAATATAAATATGAATATATCATCGACATATAGTAGGAAACTTAATGAAATATTCTCTCAGCAGGCAATGAAACAGTTAATCAACTTTGATACCAGGGTTACTGCACAGTCCGAAACGCGCATCGACTTGTTATACTCTAACACTAATGAAGTTTCATGTGAAAAAGCTGAGGAACATAGAATAACGGATCATGAAACCATAATGTTCAAATGCAATATAAAAAAACAAGGCGAAATCAATAAACTCTCTGAATTAATTTCTTGGGATGAGTACAGCCCAGACAACCTCATAAATCTTTTGAGACAATGCCACTTTGCAAACCTGAATAGTTTCAATATTGATGATATGCTCGAACATATCAACCTTTGTTTGATTTCGAGTATGAATCAACTAACTTCTCGGGTACAAAGGCGGGTTAAACTTAGAAATAAATGGTATGATAGACAACTGACTGACACTAATAAAGAAAAGTTTAGGTTACACCAAAGGGCAGTACTCACAGGTGATTGGGTAGATTACAACAAAATAAAGAAAGAGTATAAGAAAATTATCAAAATTAAGAAAATTCAGTATATGGAACACAAGGTAGAAAATAATAGAGGTGATAGTCGTTTAATGTGGAAATATTTAAAGAATATTCTTAATAATACGGGTAACAGAGACAATATCAAAGAAGTTCTCATCAACGGAAAAATATACAGAAATAGTATGGTAATCGCCGAAGAACTAAACAAGTACTTTGTGGATAGTATCGTCGACATAAATAGTAAGATAGAGAACGTAAATTGTGAACAGTTACGACAGGAAAACAGTCGAGGCACCTTTAAATTTGAGAAAATTACCTCAGAGGATGTTATCCTTATAGTGAAGAAATTTAAGACTGAAATTGGTGGAAATAATTTATTATCTGACGGTGTTATAAAGGATTCAGTTGAATACATGGGACACTTTTATGCCTTATTAATAAATAAGAGTCTTGAATCAGGAACAGTACCAAAAGAATGGAAAATCTCGACCATAGTTCCGGTAAAAAAAGTGAAAAAAAACTGTAAAAGCTGAGGAAATTAGACCAATTAATACACTGCCTAGCATGGAAAAAATCTTGGAAAATGTGGTAAAAAATCAGTTGGCGCGCCACATTGAAAGTAATAACATACTCATTAAGGAGCAATCAGGTTTTAGAGCTAAACACTCTTGCGAGACTGCGCTAAATTTTGTTATATCCCAGTGGAAGGAAGACCTTAACTCGAAGATGAATATCGTTGCGGTTTTTATTGATCTCAAAAGAGCTTTCGAGACCATTGACAGGGCAAGAATGTTGAAAAAGCTCGAATGCATAGGTATTGAAAACACGGAGCTTAACTGGTTTCGAAGCTTTCTCTCAGATCGTATGCAACAAACTGTAATCGAGTCAAGTGTGTCAAATAAAGTGGCAGTCAGTATTGGGTTGCCGCAGGGATCGGTATTGGCCCCAGTACTTTTTAATATTTATATTAACGACATAAATATGGCACTCAAGCACTGTAAGTTAAAACTGTTCGCTGATGATACACTGTTAACGATCAGTGACAGAAACTTACAGACTGCGATGACTAAAATGCAAGAAGACTTGGATTCTTTGTACAAATGGTTGTGTTTAAATAAACTTAAGTTGAATGTAAAAAAGACACAGTTCATGATCCTCTCTAGAGCAGTTAATCTTGGAACCACCAGTTACAATTTAAAAATCAAAGAGGAAGAACTTGAGGAAGTTAAACTCATTAAGTACTTGGGTATATATATAGATAATAAACTTAAATTTGATGAGCATGTTGAGCATACAGTGAACAAAATTGCGAAAAAAATTGGTCTTATGAAAAGATCTTGTAAGTATCTGAGAAGAAGGTATAAAACCCTGGTCTATAGATCTATAGTAGAACCACATTTTATATATTGCCCAACAATCTTCACCTTAGCAAGCGACGCAAATATCGAGAAATTGCAAAAAATGCAAAATAGAGCTATGAGGCACGGTGGAGAGAATACAGAGGTGGCGCCGATGACGATACCGCTACTCGGCTCTCAGTGATTTTGACAGAATCAGCTGTTTTGGTGACGTCATAGTAGAGAAGACAGCAGTATTGATGTGCTGAGTCAATACTTTTAAGTACCCAATACTCTCGATACTCGGTACCGAAACATTTAGGTTTCGAATTAAAGCGCACATGGGCCTAAAATATGGAAAAAACGCCTAACAAAACCCGAATGTAAGAGCCAATAGAGCTTTTTTACTGATCAAATGAAAGATGTATATATGTCGGTTCGATGCCATAATACAGAGAAACCCTTACTTGTTTGAAGCATTTTTGTTCCAGCTGAATCGGACGATATCATTTTTGTAGGCCTGGGACAGATTCTGTAACCAGTTAACGACAATTTTTGAATAGGTATCGGTTTTGTCGACGTTTGATATCAAATATTTGTAAGTCAGCAAGTGCGATATCGA